TTATTCGGCCATACCATTTAAGAGAGAGAAATATATTAGTTTGGTTCCATTAATATCATTTTGTGTATAGAAAATATCTATAATATTTTCTAAATATTATTAGAAATATTTTCTATAGAAATATACAAGATTATTATTATCCCAATTTTAATCTTTATATTTTATACTACTATAATCTTTACTAGCATAAAGATTGTGGTAGACTCCGGCATTGTTCGTGTGTCAAAGTTGGAGACCAGACGCTTGAATGGTTACGTTTGCACTTTCAACGCTCTTCCTACGACTTCTTCGTTTTTACAGCTTACGGAGAAAGGTATAAATTTCTTACTCACTATATGTTTTAGTACGTGATTCTGGGCAAGATAATCATGTTAGGATGTTAAAATTTTTATATTCCGCTGCCTATCCTTGTATGGTTACCTTTCACCTAGATCCTTATTTCATCTAACTATAATTGTGCTTTGCATCTTGCCCTATAGTGAAACTATTTCAGGTAGGAACTATTTCCAATTGTAACATTTTACAACTCAAGGCTAGATGAATTTGATTTTATTTATTAACCTAACCATGTGCCTCTAAGTTATTCATCTTTTTACCTTAACTTAGTTAAGTCCAACCCGAGGTGAACTCAGTATCCATTGTTACGAATTTCGCGCTATAGAAATGTAAACCAGGCGTCCCGCTTTGGCATGTCTATTGACTGGTCGAAACTGGTATCGACGAGTCAGTAAGCGTCGGAAGGCACAATCTTAATATTACGAGGGATTTTAAATGTGATTTCACCTATGACATGTGCCGCGCACATACACTAGCGAATATCATACAAACATACATTCAAACATACAAACATATATAATGAATAAAATGTGACATGGTTGTGGCCTCCTAAAGAACTAACGATAAAGCCTTAACTTGAGATCTCTATCTCAAGCTTTACCTTCTTTCTTTAAGAGTGCTTCAGCCTTCAAATTCATCCCTTCTTGCTAAGGTCCTCTTCTTCTTGGCTCCTTCATCTTTTTTGCTTCTTCATGGACTTCTTTGTTTAATCGAGAGAAAAGAATCCTTACTTTGTAAAGGGTATGAGGTTTAGGAAGAGATTTACAGCCAGAATTTAGAGATGAGGCACGACACGCAGGCCGTATTTAAAAGTCACACATTTTAAGCCACAACCATGCACCATGCAAACTTCTTTCATCACATTCATAAAAATCCATACACCGAGCAAGTCGTGCTCGCCCACACCTAGTTTATTCTAAGAAAAATAAACTATAAACCTAAAAATTATCAAATAATTTTATTTAACTTTATTTAAAAACTACAGAATATCAAAAATTTAATTTTGAATTTTCCTTAATTTTAAAATAATTAATTGCCGTAAATATAGGTATTAATTTCAAAATTGGAATTTTAATTCGAAATAAATACTTATACCCTTTGAAAATTAGTAAATAAATTCCAGAATGTGTACTCTGAATTTATAAGTCTGAAAATAGAATTTCCAGAATTTATAAAATTTAGTTTCGAAATTCTTTATTTCAGTAGTCTAATTTGGACTTTAATTTTTCAAAAATTCATTCCGTGTTTCCAAAAATTAATATTTTCAAAACATATTTACATTGGGTCAGTATTGTTTTGAAAACAAAATTTCCAGATTTAAATAAATTTTATTTTTGGTATTTTTGAATTTGTTTTCAAAAGAGTTAAATTAATTTCCAAAATTAATTTAGAATATTCCAAATATTTCAAAAATTAATATTTTCCAAAAATAAAGTTTTTGACACATATATAATCTTAAAATAAAATTTCCTGATTTTTCCTAAACTTTATTTTTGGTACTTTCTATTTTATTTGGTAATGCATAGAAACAATTTATAAAATAATTTTTTGTGCATTATAATTATTCCAAAAATCATTATTCTCATTATATTATGAGATAATTACTAAATAATAAACTTTCATAATTTAAAAATAATTATTTAAGTTTCGAGATTTAATTACCAAATTACCAAAACTGTTTTTCCCAAAAATTAATAATTAAATACTTAAATTACAAATTAAATTCTCAAAACTTTTATTCATTCTGAAAATCATATTTTAAAGTTCATAAAGTATACTCCCGAATTTTATTTTTCCTTTTCGATTTAATCTATATTAATACTGAATAAGATTATTTTGAATCGAGAAAAATAGAAAATAAAAACCAAAAATTTATTTTAATTTTCCAGATTACTTAAAATCATATTTTAACATCTATAAGTATTAAAATTATTTTCTTTAATTTATTTTGTATTTATCTTGTAATTAATCAAATTAACTACAAATCAAACAATACTTTATAAATTAGGAAATAAATTCCGAAAATTAATTTTAAATTTCTAGATGTTAAATATGTTAATATAATATTCCATATTTAATATGATTATTATATATATATGGTAGATTTTATAGTTGTATAGGATTCCATTTAATGTAGTTTCCTTATACTACACCTTCCTACATGTATATAAGGGGAGGTAAATATTTTGTAATGATCATTGGAATTATACAATTCTTCATGGTATCGGAGCCATTCCTACGCTAATCCTGAACCACCTCTTCTCTCTCCCTTTCACGGCGCAGCCCTTCTCCCTCTTGCTGCTGCCGAGTCATCTCCCCACTTCGGCGAAGAAGTCGCCGGTCCCTTTCCTTCACTAGCCACCTTTTCCTTCTCTCCTTGTCAACATGTCATTGGAAAAATCTGTCTCTCCTTCCACTACCGCTGCAAATACCCCTCATCTTGCTTTTACGACCGTCTCTAATGTCAAACTACAAGTACCCATCACTCTCAGTTTCTCGGAACCAAACTACAAGAAGTGGAGTCGTCTCTTTCTTCTCTTGGTCAGACGGTTCAATCTTGAAGGCTTCGTCACTGGTGAGAAAACCTCCACCGGGAAAGATGATATTGAATGGCTTCAACTAGATGCCCTTATTCAAGAATGGATTCTTTCAACCATCAACGATGAGGTTTCCAATCTTGTCATCTCCTCCACCACATCTACAGCAGATTTATGGAAGGCTATACACAACCAATTTCATGACAACAAGGCGGCGAGAGCTATGCAATTGGAGAACCAATTTTACAACACTGTCAAAGGCACGTCCACCATCACAACTTACTGTCAAACCCTTCGGAATATTGCCGATTGGCTGGACGATGTAGATGCCCCAGTCACCGAAAACCAACTTGTTCTCCAAACCCTACGTGGCCTCCCGGATGACCTAGGCAAGCAAGAATCCTTCCTCCAATTCCAAAACTGCCGCCGACGTTCATGGAAACGAGATCGGCCCTTCTTCTCTTAGAACAACAAAATCGGCCTTTCATCACTGCCGGTGAAGGGGGTTCCGCCCTAGCAGCCACCATCATTGGGCCGCAGGGTTTCGGCGGTGGAGCGAGCCGGGTGCAGGGCTCCGGTGGCGGCGGAGGTCAGCAGTTCGGCTACAGCGGCGGCGGCGAGCAATCCCAGGGCAGCGGCGGCGGCCGTGGACAGACGGCTGGTGGTCGCGGAGTTCGCCTGGTGCGCGGTCGCGATCAAAGTCGGAACAGCGGCAGGGGCGTGCGGCAATCCTTCGGGCATTTGGATAACTGGCAGATCCCCAATTCTTATCCCCACCCAAGCCAAGGAATATTGGGCCCATGGCCCAATTCCTTTCCCCACCCAGCCCAAGCTTATTTAACTCAACCCACTTATCCCAATTACCCCACCAACACAAATTACTC